GGACAAAGAAGCAGCCGAGCTAGCAATCCTCAACAACTTTTTAAAGAATCAGCCGAACTAGCAATCCTCAACAACTTTTTAAAGAATCAGCCGAACTAGCAATCCTCAACAACTTTTTAAAGAATCAGTCGAACTAGCAATCCTCAACAACTTTTTAATTTTTACACCAGGAGCCAAAGTTCTGTTTCAGGAAACCACATCCCCAGCAATCGGCGGTTGTAGGATTAAGCTGTAAAAGAGTTCATACACCGCTAGTTGGCAGTGTTGTACATATATTGTACATTAATTGTTGCCAGSTAGTAAGCGTCAAATTGAACTTATGCTTTAAAATTAGCGTCCACTAGTTTTTCTATGGCATAAGCATTTTTGAAGTTGCGGACCTAAATATTTTATAAGCACTTTGGAAATTGAGGAGCTAATTTTTGGATTAGCACTGCCCACCACTGGTTTTACTGTTTAGGGCACCTCATAGTCAGCTYCCCAAACATACTGTATGTTAGACCTTCAGAAGCCCCTCTCCATCCAGGACTTTGACATCTTCAAATCTAATGCTGGTGGTACCTCAAACCCATTTCAAGGGTCATTTCAGGTGGTAACCCAGAGGCCCTGGAACACACTCTCTGTCCCTTCACTGCACAGACACAAACTCTTTTAATAAACATTTTAAGACATTTATTTATATGTTATTTAAATAGTTTTTGTTTATTTGATTTATTCTCTGTGTTTATTGTTAGTGTCTTGCTCTTTGTGAAGCACTTGGTGAGGTTTGTGTCCGTGAAAGGTTCTGTACTGTAGAAATAAAATTTGCTTTCCTATTTAATTCAATGTCAAATAGTAATGCACTTATCCCAGCAAACATGGGTCTTAAACTAGGATCTTTGTGTGTTTTGTGCATAGATTGTGGCAACGGGGCTGTGCCACACAGACTTGTACCACCTGTTTGAGGGGATGCACAAAGACGGCTTCCCAGCAGTCCTTGGTCACGAGGGAGCTGGGATAGTGGAGAGTGTCGGTCCTGGTGTCACTGAATTTCAACCGGGTCAGTTCCACCTTTTAAACCTCACTTTAGTTCCTCTGTTTGCTGTATTTAGTTTTGTATTTAATGTTGTAAGAAGCTACAGTTGTTTTAAAAGCAAAATCATACCCTAGTCGAAATTTAAAGGTTTTCCTTTTACACATAATCTATAAATAATTAAACAACCACATGTGACAGTTTACATAATTGTAATTCATTGTACTTATTTTTGATCTAATATTCATTTGTCATTAAATTGTAGGTGACAAGGTTATCCCCTTGTTCATCTCCCAGTGTCGAGAGTGTCGCTTTTGTAAACACCCTAAGGCCAATCAGTGTGTTGAAGGATGGTGAGATGCTTGGTTTTTCAATTCACCCAAAACAGAGTGGCCTTTAGGTTACACACTCGTTTGATGCATTAAGTTTTTTTGTACAGGGCTGCTGAACGTTACGATGTGATGGCCTTGGAGGACTCCAGGTTCACCTGTAAGGGGAAGAAGATCCTGCAGTTCATGGGAACCAGCACCTTCTCCGAGTACACCGTCATTAATCAGATTGCCGTGGCCAAGATCGACCCCACTGCTCCTCTGGATAAAGTGTGTCTGCTGGGCTGTGGGGTCTGCACAGGGTTTGGAGCAGCAGTTAATACTGCTAAGGTTTGTGTAGTTTAACTTAAACTGCGAGACAGAAAGCATGAGGTGAAACACAGCTATATTTAAGACCCCCAAGTGGAGTGCTAGGTTCAATAAACTGCTCTTTCTTTAGGTGGAACCAGGCTCCACGTGTGCTGTGTTTGGGATGGGAGCTGTGGGCTTGGCTGCAGTCATGGGCTGCAAGTTTGCCGGAGCCAAAAAGATCTTCGCTGTTGACGTCAATCCGGACAAGTTCGAAAAAGCCAAAGTCTTTGGCGCAACTGATTTCGTGAACCCCAAAGACCACAGCAAACCCATCAGCCAGGTGCTCTGTGAGCTGACCAACGGAGGAGTGGACTTCGCCCTGGAGTGTGTTGGGAACGTGGGAGTCATGGTGAGGACGATGAGSAGAAAGCCCGATGTAGCTGTTAAATAACTGAGCTGTTGTTTTCGGACACATGTTTGCTTCTCCACACAGCGCAGTGCCTTGGAGTCTTGTGTGCCCGGTTGGGGTGTCAGTGTGATCGTTGGCTGGACCGACATGGATGACTTCTCTGCACGACCCGTCCAGCTCATCACTGGACGTACATGGAAGGGCTCCCTGTTTGGAGGTGAGACATGAAATAAACTCTGTTAAAGGGGACATAGCATGCTAAATCCACTTTTAGCTGTTCAATGCATTTTGTCAGTGTTGTATAAAGTACCTCAAAGTGATAATTGAGTAAAAGTACAGGGATTTTATCATAGAAATACTTTGGTAAAAGCTAAAGTCTTCTCTAAGAATATTACTTCCATAAAAGTCTTAAAGTATCTGATAAATTTTGTACTTAAGTATCAAAAGTAAATTTCTGACACAAAATGGACTTAAGTAATAAAAGTAAAAGTACTGAGTAAAAGTGAGCAGTTAGATTTTCCTAAATGACATTTATTGGGAGRTGACCTCCCCAAAAAACATTTTTTTCTTACGGCGTGCAGCTGTGATGGGTTGTGTACAAGCTATTATGGTGACAGAATGGTATATATTTATACTTCTCATCCAACCACAATTAAATTCACTCTATCCAGGAAACACAGTTTATCAGGATAGTATTTTTTTAAGTAATAACAACTTGGAGTAAAACAGGTGTAACGACTTCTTACCTTTAAAAAAAATGTAGTGAGTAGAAAGTACAGAAAATTGTGTAAAAACGTAATTAGTAAAAGTAAGAAGTACTGTATGCTGAAAAATAATTACTCAAGTAAAGTACAGATAACCAAAATTTCTACTTAAGTAAAGTAGAAATTTGTTCTTAGTTACTTTCCAACTCTGTAGAAAAAGAAAGCAGGGCCTGAGTAATGCTTGGTTTGAGTGTTGAACTGTTGACCTGGATTAGGGCTGTTATTGCTCAGACATACCAGACAACCAGATCCAGTTCTGAGAAACCAGTATTCTTTACTCTGCCAGAGGTTATCAGTGGAGTTAAATGGTGTTCATTTTTTGAAGGGAAACGAAGCTTCAGAAGTATATGACTAGTTCTAGGTCAGGTTCACATGGAAATAAATCAGTAACTTTGTGATTCAGCTTTTTTCTTTTTGGTTCATGGGATCAAAAGCTTCAGTCTTTTTGGTTTGCAGTCATTCAACTGGTGTTATAAAGACATGTTTTCTGACTGTCTAACTCAGGGTTCAAGAGTAAGGACGGCGTTCCTCAGATGGTTAAATCCTACCTGGAGAAGAAGGTGAAGCTGGACGAGTTCATCACTCACAACATGCCTTTGGCTCAAGTCAATGATGCCATTGAGCTGATGAAGCACGGGAAATGGTATTTTTTTCTAAACCTGCTGCACTGCTAAAAAGTTCCTAAATAACTGTAAAAATTAAGGAATGAACCAGAGTAAAGTTTCTAATTAGCATTTTTAATTTGTTCCGCAGCATCCGAGCAGTCCTGAGTGTTTCTCCACAATGAGGCAACAAACTAAAACCCTGCCCAACATCCTCAAGATTTGAAGCAACCAGCACCAATCAGGAGCTGAAAATGATGTCCGAGTCTGAGCTATCCAAGTCAGGGTTACTGGAGCAAAATAAATAATCGGAAAAGATTGTGTCAGTTTTATTTTCAAAAACTAAAATAAAAACGTTTGAACTTCATACGTTGTTTTTGCATTGTGTTCTGTGGCAGAACATTTAACACAGAGGCACCTTGACATCAAATCAGTCACATTTTAAAACGATTTGGCAACACTCATTTGGAAACACAAGGCTACACAAAGGTGTAGTTATTGTAAAATGTTACCATTTTTTCCCCTTAAAAATACACAGACGTGGTTTTAGAGTGAATTTACAGAGATTTATACATATTTTGTAAAAAGTTAGTCACTTTTTTTTGCAGTCTCCTGGTACCGCCCAAGTCTCTGTTTGTGCTTTTAAACTGACATTTTTTGAGCTTCTACAAAGTGGAGTGTGTCAAATTAAGATCGAGAGAAAAAAAAGGTTTGAAACTGATTGAGTTTTAACCTGGGGATTGATTTAAAATAAGTATATCATTCACAGATGTRCAACAGTTGAGACATTGTGTAGTTCTAGAAAAAAACATCAAGTACTTACTACATTTTTCATTTGGATGGCAGCAACAAATATGCATTTTTTCTGAAGCATCTGTAAACATCTGTGAGATCAGTTCTAGCATTTTGGAGGGGAATGTTGTCTGATGATTCCAGCTGTTCAGCAGTCTTAAAATATTATACAAAAAAATAAGAACACAAACAAGCCTGATCATTTTTATCATTTTAGGTTTTTTTTTAACTTAAAATTGTTGCAAAAGTCACTAGGGTATTTTTACATATTGTTTGTATTTTACATCCGTTTGAATGTATTTTAAATTGCACGGTGATTTTCTGCCACAGCATTAAAGAAAAGTCTGAAATCCATGCAGTAAGTCCTTTTTACACACAGTTACACATTAATTTGAACCTGGCTGCGTCAAGTGTCTCATTTGATTTTACAATTGTATCATTTAGCTCTTGCTATCTAATCTGGTGTAAACACAAAACAGAAATGCTTCACTAGCGGTGCAAACGAGAACACTCTTGATTCTCTATGGTTCTATGATTACATCAAATGTTTAACCAGATTTCCTTGTGTCCCGACGTGAAAGTGTAACCTTTCAGGTGATACGAGTGAGGTTAAAGTCCTGAGTTTTCTCTTAAATAGCCAGGATCTTGTTTGCTATTTCCCACTCTTCTGTCCTGCAACTGTAGTCCGTTTGAACTTGTCCAAACTGAATAAACCTCGGAGCTAAAATGGCCACAGCTGGGAAGGTAAGAACACTCTTTTCCTGTGGGCACATTTGGTTTTGCCTCAAACTTTTGCAAAAGTCTCTTTTAAAACAGTGAATATAAAAATGTCATTTTACTAGATTAGTTTTTTTCCTTTAGTACATAACTCTAAAGTTTAGCAAAATAGCGGAGTCAGTTCCTCAAAGTTAGAAATTCAACTAAAAAATCACCAATTTGATGATAAAACTCCAGCCACTAACTTTGACAGTTTGGAGAATCTTGTTTGTCTCATCATATTTGGACTTTAAACAGCTGCTTGTGTAAAACATCTGTGAGCAGAGCTTCAGATGTGTGTGTCTGCACAAGTGTAAAAAGTACAGATTCTCCGTTTGATTTCATGTGAATCAATCTGTCTTTAACTGTGAATGCAGTTAATAACTATTAGTTCATCTTTAATGATCGAAAATCTTTTTTATTTCTTAAAAATGTTGCTTTTCTGTAAATACGAGCCAAAAAAATGTCGCTTTTCCAATTTGTTTTTATTTCATCATTTCATTTTAGGTGATCAAATGTAAGGCAGCCGTGGCCTGGGAGCCCGACAAGCCCCTGGTGATTGAAGAGATTGAGGTAGAACCTCCTCTGGAGAATGAGGTCCGAATCAAGGTGAGAGGAAATGACCAGAAAATGTAATGATTGATGGAAATCTTTGCAAATATGTGTCAGTTTGCGGTTTCAGTTACAGCAGATTTAGTTCATTTCTAACAATATGTTAAATACAGAACTAAAAAAAGGTCAGAAGTCAAACCAGATTGCATCAGTGCTGTCTGTGGCTAACTGCTTATTTTTCAGTAGACCATTTCGTARTTAGAAATGCGCAAAGTGAAGCTTAGCTTTTCTGCGTCACAGGTCAACTGGATAAAAACGGAGGCTGCTACTGGAATTCTGCAAACTCAACAAGCTCAAAAAGCACATTTGGATATTTATGATTAATCACATCTATGATCCTGATGGAAAGTTTAGAGCAAATACATTGGGTCAGTATAACGATGTAAATTTATCGAGTAAGGGGTCTCTGTAGTAGGTTTTGTCCTGTGGGCGGAGATGGCCCTACTCGTGATTGGTGGAGGTTTCAATGTGGGCGGAGATGGCCCTACTCGTGATTGGTGGAGGTTTCAGTGTGGGCGGAGACAGCCCAAGAGACATGATTGGTCAGATTGATGGTGGGGTTTGAGGAGGCTGTAGGCAGCGGGCTAGCTTGATCAAGTCCGGTAGGAAGCAACGTTTTTTAAGATTAATTTTAGTCAATAATTGAGAAAGAAAAGTGCTAGTTGCACGAAATTTGAACGCCATACATGTGAAAGGATGTGTAATAATATGGCTCAGTCAAAACATCCCTAACCAGCCTGTAAAAAGATCGGTAAAAAAAATCAAATTTTTTTACAGACTGGTTAGGGATGTTTTGACCAAGCCATATTGTTACACATCCTTTCACATGTATGACGTTCAAATTTTGTGCAACTAGCACTTTCCTTTCTCAAGKTATGACTAAAATTAATCTTTAAAAACATGTTACTTCCTGCCCAACTCGACCAAGGTAGTCCCCGCTGCCTCCAGCCTCATACCCCACTGTCAATSCGACCAATCACATCTCTTGGGCCACATCAAGACCTCCGCCAATCATGAGCAGGGACGTCTCCGCCCACATTAATACCTCGGCCAATGACGATTTGGGCCATCTCTGCCCACAGGACAACACGTTCTGCAGAGACCCCTACTTGAATTTATCTGTTGATTTTGTGCAAATACAATGGCGTTTCCATTGCAACCACAGCTTTTTCCCAATAAACCTTCGTCTGCCCGCTTCACGCATGTGTGAACATTTCTAATTGCTAAATGGTCTAAAAGGGAAATATGTAAAATCAACTTTTTGAGCTTTGTATCCTGTTATAACGTTGTCCCCTCATCAAAAACTTAGTGTTGCTTTGACTCATTCTTGCATGTTTGAGAAGTGAAAACGCATTTTATTCAAGAGTTGGTGCATCAGTGTGTTTGTTGTTTTCTGTGCAGGTGGTGGCAACAAGTCTGTGCCAGTCTGACCTGTACTTCCTCTTTAAAGATATAAACAAAGACATCTTCCCAATAGTTCTTGGCCATGAAGCAGCTGGCATTGTGGAAAGTGTCGGCAAAGGGGTCACTGAATTTCAGCCAGGTCAGTCAAACAATAAAACCCCCACAACAAATAAATACATCTATTTGTCTTGTGTGTCAAAGACAACATCGTTAAATCAAAGTTACATTTCTAAACCTAAATTATAAATAAAACATTAAATGTCCATATTTCTTGTATTAAGTTTGTAAAGGAATGTTTTTCCGTGTTGGTCTTTAGGAGACAAGGTTATTCCTCTGTTCCTCCCTCAGTGTCGAGAATGTCGTCTCTGTAAGCATCCTAAGACCAACCTGTGTGAAAAAAAGWAAATCAATAATCTTATTCCTCTACCTTTTATATTTCAGTCCTTTAAAACGTGTGCACCTCGTTAGTGATGCATTGAAATTTCAAGCACCTTTTCAGCACTCATTCAGAGTAAAATACTTGTTCTCCTCAGGACTCCTGGTCAATCAGGCAATCTTAAAGACTCCAAATTTACCTGCAAAGGGCAGAAGTTGCATCAGTTTATGGGAACCAGTACCTTCTCTGAGTACACCGTAATGAACCAGAATTCTGTGGCCAAGATCGACCCGGCTGCTCCTCTGGATAAAGTTTGTCTCATTGGTTGTGGGATCTCCACAGGGTTTGGAGCAGCAATTAATGCAGCCAAGGTGTGTACAAGTGACATTTGGTAAACATGCAACCCTCACTGCTGGAAACTAACCAAAGCTCAGTTAAAAGGTGACTGAGTTGTGTTTGTGTGCAGGTGGAACCAGGCTCCACRTGTGCTGTGTTTGGTCTGGGAGCTATAGGCTTGGCTGCAGTCATGGGCTGCAAAGCTGCAGGAGCCAAAAGGATCATCGCTGTTGACGTCAATCCAGACAAGTTYGAAAAAGCCAAAATCTTTGGCGCAACTGATTTTGTGAACCCCAAAGATCACAGTAAACCCATCAGTCAGGTGCTAATGGAGATGACCAGCGGAGGAGTGGACTTCGCCCTGGAGTGTGTTGGGAACGTGGAAGTCATGGTGAGTTTTTGATGTTGAGGTTTCTGTTTAAACACTGAACAAACACTGATGACTTGGTGCTTTTTCTCTAATCAGCTCAGTGCCTTGGAAGCTTGTGCACCAGGTTGGGGCGTCAGCGTGATTGTTGGCTACACAAACCTGCACGACATCAGTATTCGACCCCTGAAGCTGYTGACTGGACGGACATGGAAGGGCACCTTGTTTGGAGGTGAAATAAAGGACGTTATACTAAACCTACAGCAAATTCTAACTTTTCTAACACATGGTATCTCTGCAATAACTCAGCCACTACTCATGCTTTAATGTGGGG